GTAGCACATCAGGGTGCATCCACATATTATTAAAGGTCAAAGGGCTTTAAAGCAGTGCAATCATTTTGAAATTTTTATCATTTACTTATTATGCTTCATTAAGGACTTATACAAAATTTTATTAAAATGAAGCCATTTAAACTGGGTGTACGGATTTATATGTCACTTAGTATAGATACTACTTAGTGCATGATGTTGTCTTGATTATTCTTTCTTTCTCATAGCATCATCATCATAATTTGTTTTTTCTCCATCAATCTGTTTATTTGTACACATCTTTAACATAGCCTCAATGTCAATGTCATTTGTTTCAATGGCAATATATTGAAAAACATGGAACGCTGCTATTCGCTACCTGCGCTTTGACAGTACCACCTAGCGGCTGATGCACATTTATGTTTGTGACTGACATGTGCAATATAAAAATAAAGACATTTAGGCGATTCGAAGTCAGGAACAATGCGAGTTTCAAACTGACAGTTCTCGTTTGATCTGACAAATTATGACAACGAAATATTTACTTTATGCCAGGCCCCAGTTGGCCCCAGATGACTCAGATCTTATCATGAAGACCACGCCCATGTTCCATTATGAAGCCGACGATGTTGTCCTTTTTGTCCACCACGTGCGCAGCGATCAATTTAGCTCCCCCACTACGCGCTTCGCTACTCGCGAATAAACATAGAATTCAAATATTCCAGTTGCTAAAGAATGGGGTGTTGTGAACTTCTAGAATAACTTTCTACCTAGTGAAGTGGCATTATCATTCTTACTCAATGGATACGGTTTGCTTTGATAGTATATCAATTACCTTGGTAATTTATTCACAAAAAAGCGTAACCAGCGTAGGAATGATGTAATTTGCTAATTTCTTAGACGAAATACCGAATTCAGAAATATTTTCCCCAATATTCTCAAATGTTACATTCAATCACCCTTTCAAATGCCAGTGTGGTCCAGAATGGTCGTTATGAGGTATATTTTCTCCAAAGGTATGGAATACATTTCTAAAATTCGGTTGTTAGTATCCACAGAATCAATTTGAGACATTTATTCACCCTAGTCAGATAAGTTTAGTGGTCCCTGAGGTAGAACAGCGGATCTTTATTGTTGTTTCGTGCGAAATGTGTATGTTGATGTTTTCGAATATCATCATGCAAATAACATTGGTTATGTGCTTTTGTACGGTGTATTACGACTAGCACTACGCGTGAAGAGGTTCGTGTGTCAGTTCTGGCTCGGGGTTGACCATCCGACAGCTAAGCTGCAATCTAGGACATACGCAATGGATATAAGTATACTAAGTGACATATAAATCCGAACACCCAGTTTAAATGGTTTTATTTTAATAAAAGTTGGTGGATGTATTTATCTTACTGTAAATAACAAGTGAAAAAATGTTCAGCCTTATCAGTTGGACATTCCGGTTTTTATGCTGTTTTTTTTTAATTCACTAACGCTCTAAAAATGAATATTTCAGCCGCAGTAAAGAATCAACGTTGGCGGATTTTGGTTCTTGACATCCTTTACGATCGGTTACGATGCCTAGAGTATGGAGACCTGTACGATTTCGTCAACTTAGTGAGTTTGATAGGGGCCGTATAGTGGGACCTCGGGAAGCTGGACTTTCTTTTCGGGCAATTGCAGTTAGAGTGCAAAGAAGTGTAGACACTGTGGTTAGGTGTTGTCAGGCATGGCTTCGAGAAGGCCGTACGCAAAAAGCAAGGGGCACTGGACGCCGCCGTAGAGCAACAGACCGTGAAGATCGCCGCCTAAGATTATTGGCCTTAAGGGAGCGTTTCTCCACTACCAGGTCCATTGCATATGAATGGTTTGCAGAACACGGAAGACCTATGGGCATGCGAAGTGTTTACCGACGAATGAGAAGTTTTGGCTTGTTTTCATACCGGCCACACTGGGTCCTCCCTTTAGCTCGAGAACACCGCCTTGAGTGGTACAGACAACGGTCACTCTGGGCTCAGGAATGGAACAGTATTGTCTTTAGTGACGAGTCTCGATTTTGTTTAGGCATGCACGATGGTCATGCCAGGGTTAGAAGGCGACGTGGTGAAAGGAGGAATCCACAGTTTTTTGTTGAAAGACATGTTCATCACACTGTTAGAGTTATGGTTTGGGGTGCTATAGCTTATGGTTACAGGTCACCTTTAATCTTCATCAGAGGTAACATGAGCGCGCAGCGTTATATTCACGAAGTTCTAGAACCCCATTATGCTTCATTAAGTACATATACAAAATTTTATTAAAATAAAACCATTTAAACTGGATGTTCGGATTTATATGTCACTTAGTATATGTACGACCTTGAGGGAATCAAACGGAAATTTTCTTTGACACTTGAACCTGACATCTTCTACGTTGATGATCGCATTGGGTACTATGCTATTCAGACAGCCCAAACGCCATGGGCTCCACTTAAAGAGAAATGGTGCTTACGACCGTTTGGCTGATATTAGCCTGAACCACTGTAACCCATATTTCGCAGCATGGTTTCTGGGTTTCAGCCACGTAAGGTACTTCTTTTGTTTGTTATTAGTGCGGCCTTGATGCCCGAATTCAAAACTGAACAATTCGGTCAACCATTAATTTTCATGCGTCTCCTTATCACTTGAAGAGGTAATCCACTAATACTCAAACTCGCTGAGCTGCACCCTGCAAGAGTACGTTAGCTCATCCATCTCTGGCCAGCCACGATTAAGCCGCTCAGTTCAAGATCACGCGTAACTGATCGAGTTTGAGTGGATTCGGAGGCGCAGACTGACCTAAAGTTGACGACCGTCGAGCCACACAGGTTTGAATATCTGATCGATAGACCATGATTTTGTTATGGAGCGATAACTTTAAGGGTCTTCTCAGTAACCAGAAATATTGCTTGTAACAAAGGTTCAGTTCTCTATTTTTTTATGTGGCATTTCGACATGGGTCTCGTGACAAGGGGTTATACCTGATGGTTCTTTTCCACTGAATGGACAAAACAAAACAATGCAACAAAATCGTGTCAAATAAAAAAATACTGAAACCATTCCCAAACTTTTTGAATTGGTCACATCAAAAGATTCCGACGTGTTTTGAAACTCGAGTCTGTTTAGTGGAAACGGTCATATTATGTTTTCTATGTCCGTCTTGCTAGTCTGAATACGAATTTCGTACCAAATTAGTATATAAATAAATACCGTATTTTGTATAGGTAATAAATTTGTTTTGAGACGCAGGTTGGATTTATAAGTACATTAAGCTTTGATAACAATAGCAAGTAGCAAGGAGCTTCGGTGTTACTGCTAATCGATCTTTAACAGAAATTCAATCTCCGAAGTTTGTGCTCAACCTTGCAACTTTCTTCCAATTAATCTAATTAGCTTCTGGAAAGGGACACAAACTGGGAAAATTATGAAATGATGTGCAGTGTTTTCCATGCAGTCCAATGTCGACATTTTGGGTATCATTCATTAATTGTGCAGCATCAGCGCTTACTCTTCTGTAGTTGTAGTTACCATTCTTTTCGGCTTCGTCATCAACGCCATATGAAATAAGTAAACAGACCGAGTCGCCGTACCATGGGATGATCCTGAGCGCAGAGGTCATGATAAATATGTTGTCCTTTACTTCTCAAATCGTAGAAAGTATTTCTAATTTCTGTTTTGACGGCATCACTTTCATAATCTTCTTATAGTAATCTTCTTATTTTCTAATTTCATTCGCTGAACACTGCGCAGACTAATCTTCAGTGCATCTACTACTCTCTCCAGTACGCATGAACTGGGTAACAGGGGATCGCTGTTTTCATTTTCTTTCTGGAAATACTGTAATAAATTTAGGACGAGCTGTCGGCCTTCTCCATTGATCGTATTTCCAGCATTGTACAATATTATATTGAAGATTGATAACAGGACAACTTAAATTGCACGCCGATGTTAAGTAGATTGTCGCTCTGACAAATACGATTGAAAGGCACTCATGTGACAAAGTTTTCGAGACGAAGACATACAACTAAAAACGTATGTCTTTGAGCTAACCGAACGAACGTACACACATAGGGGTAGGCTGCATATGTACCCATCTATGAGAGAGATGAAGATATATAAAGGGATACTGGTAGTCTTACTTTGACCCGCCAAGAACGGTGACGAAAACTTTACATAAATGTGATTAAACCCAATATCTGTGTTGGCGGTTTCTTCTTATGAAAGATATTACTATTTTGGTAGTGAATATATTTACGGTTGAAGAGTTTACGTTGCTAGTTTATAGACACATAGTTTCAGGCACCGCTATTTCAGTATCAACCTGCCTTAACTAATAATAAAAGTGGAAAAGTACCAAAAACTAAAACTAAACTCGAACAAAATGTAGCCCGCTTGATGGAAACAAGAGTTCTGGCTTTGTTTCAGTTTTTTTTATTATTCCTAACCTACAAAATACGAACACACATACTTCATACATACTCCAGCGTTGATAACCAGAAGATCAGAATACTCATCTTCTTGTTTAGCTCCAAAAGTCCTGCTTGAGACACATGACCTAATCACCTCTACGGTAATTGATACCTTGGAAGTACAAAGTTTATTTTATTAATAAGCCCTTCATGCCCCACTTTATTGAATGCCTGCGACATCCAGGAATAGTGCATTGCAAAATTATTTTCCCTTTAGAGCTGATTCTATGATGTCAGAAATCGATGGTAGAATGCTTAGTTCTTAACCTAAACTGGTGGTCTAACCTTTTCCTGTTTTAAGTCTCTCATTTTTCAAATAACTTGGGAATTGGCAGTGATGACATGAGTATACGGTACCTTAGTAGGGGTGTCGTATGGTCAATATCGCATGTACGATAGCTGAAATGTCACACTTCTTGAATCTCTCAAATGACAGTTTTCATTAGACAACATTTCTAAGACCGTGCAACAATGAATGACGAGTTGGAAGTTTCTTCACTGTTCGACAAAACCGCAGATGACAAAGTAGGAGGATGAGTTGTTTGAAAATACTTACTTTTTTCTTCGTTATTGACTTCTTCCTTCCAAAACCCATCTAAAAATCAAATCACTGAACAAAAGTGACAGCACAGCGACAAACTATGACAAGAATCACTAAAATAAAATTCCATTATTCGGCATGTTCTTTAAAAGAATTATTTGAAAAATTCTCCAGTGATGAAGAAACACTTGTACAGGCTCAGTGTCAATGGTATCAACTTTACGCAAAGGGCTCGACATATTTCGGCGTCCAAAAAGGATCTGAAAGATACATGCTTCGCCAATAAAACGGTATCTTCTAAAAATTGCAACCTACCAAAAGAGTTCTGTAATCTGATAGTTTAGTTTAAATTAACTGTTGACCACTGAAGGTGCAGAGTACATGTGACATGTCAACTATAGGTAAAATATGCATTATAAAGGTTGTACAGTAATAATCCACTAAGCAAATATATAAAATTGAAAAATACAACTTAAAATTGAAACAAAATCCGCAGATACAATATAAATCGAATACGCAATGAAAACAACACCTTTATAATTACTTAGAGACCTCACATTTAAATACTCAACGCGGATTTCATAAGAAAGTTTTTCACTTCCTTTCTTGCATTCAGCTAACAACGGCGCGGGTGGCATGTCTATGTACCTATGCCTTCTAATTTGAAAAGGTCAACGATTACAACATTTGTATACAGAAAGTAAAAATTGATGGGGAATGAATTGAGGCTTAATTTAGGAAACGTTATTTCAGTGATAATCTCGCACCAATTCCCGTTTGCAATTTGTAGTGATCTGAATTGGTGCTGATGAGAATCCAAATATTTAAATATAAATTTGTTTACCAACTGCTAAACCCACGTGATTGGAATTCGTAATGTTTGTGGGATTACAATCGGTTTCCTTTATTTGTTATTCTGTCTGTTGGCAAACACGTGCAGCTGCGAATAATGTAAAATACAGTAATTTTGTGCAAGTGTCACACGTACGTCAATACAAAATTGGAAATCTCTTGGGATAGGTTAAATATTCTAAGATAATTTGGATATTCTATTCGTCATTGTCGGTTAGAACAATCCGTAGGAGCTTTGGTCTTGGTTCAGTTGGGATAGCACCTGGTGCCACAGGCACTTCAGTTTGTAAGAACTGCAAAACCGTGCAATGAGAGCTATATTGAGATTGTAGTTGATTGATTGTATTGAGTGTAATTGTTTGACACCTGTGAATCCAATGCTAAATCCATTACGTTGTTCACCAGTTTTACACAGAGAGAGTTTTATCTCACAATAGTTTTGATCTTTAAGGCAGCTCGAGGAATGGATCCTAGCTACTTTATTCATACATCATATATCTACTTGTGACGTTCACCTTTATCCATCCAGGCAAAATATGAACTTTATACATTTATTTCTAAACCTGCTAGAATGAGCTCTATGAATTAACTACCCTTTAAGAGTCAGCATATTGCATAGGTTACATCATAGATTCCAGAGAGTTCCGTTTAAATTTATTAATAAATGACTTTGTTGTGTATAGTGTGTGTTCTGCTGATTGATGTCTTTTGCTTTTAAAATTTATTAATCTTATAGTATTTAACGTTTTGGCTAAATGTTCACTATAGAATAAACATGACCTGCTTTCGTCCGCCCAACCAAAGACAGCCAGCTATGGATCCTAATGATCTATGATAGTGGTAGATGGCGCTTAGCTCTGTCTTATTTGGATAAATGTTTTACTGATGTGTATTAATAAAACATATGTGTATATTAGGGTTATTCTATTTCTAACTGATTCTTCTTCTTCGTCGTCCTCTAAAGATGTATCCTGCACTGGTACAGACAAAACATTGTAGATATCGAGATATACAGGGTTATTACAATAGAATCATCGGGTTTTAAAAATATATATTTCTGAAGGTATTACAGGTATAACAGTAAGTGACATGTCAATGGAAGGGTGAAATATTCAAGATTTTAAGCATGTTATTACAAATGTTCGATGTGGGCTCCTTGCGTCACACGACATATTCCAAACGATAGTCCAGTTCGACCCATACACGCTGTAATGTGTCAGGAACTCGTGGTCTTCCGGTACTTTTACGTTCAGTAATTGGACCTGTCTTCTTGAATTGTCGATACAATCGTAGAAAGCTCAGATGACCTGGCGAATCAGTTCCATACCGCCGTCGGAATGCACGTTGCACTGTAACAACCGATAAACATCGCGCGTACTCTAACACACAAAACACTTTCTGCTGCATAGTCGCCATTTTGTATACTGAGCTCGTGGCCCTACCTAGGGAGGTAAAGCGGCGTTCGCAAGCACGTGCTTTAAACTCGAACATTTTCCTTATCTAGTGATATGTCATTTGATATTATATTTGCAATACTCTCTGAAATATAAATTTTTAAAACCCGATGATTCTTTTGTAATAACCCTGTACATTATTAATTTTGACGCATGGTGTATCATATGCGCCAGATGTTCAGACAGCTGGCAAAATATTGTCCTTCATGTGCTTGTAAACTCGACATATTCGAAACGTATTTTAAAGAAAACCGTTACAACGTCCAGCTAGGCATCCATTATACATAGTGGCGCAAAATAGACGTCATGGATCGAACTAACGCGTCCGTTTTTCGAAATTAACTTTTTATTTTTTAGGATTTAGTAGAGGAGTCTTGGGGATTCCGATATGAAGCGATGAATCATGGAGTAATGGATAAAATTAGGCGTACTTCAAAGTCCGGGATCTGTTGTTCTCAGTGAGTTCGATCGATTAGAAGGAGCCAAGCCACATTACATCCTTTGTCGTCAACATTGTGAAAACGATACTCAGGTAGTACTAAGAGCACTCACATGTGTCAGGACAGAGATAATACTTTTACTGCTCAGTTATTGATAATAGAGGGAGATAAAGTAAATAAGGCAAATAATCGAACGTAAATACATAACGGTACAGAATATAATTAATTACCCAGCAGTTTCTCAGTTACAGGACAATCATACAAACATAAGCGTAACATAAAACAATTTTTGATATTATGTCAAGCATTAATATAAACAACCTCTAGAAAAAGTATGAGATAGATACTTATAATAAACATATAATGAAAAGAAATCTGCAGAAATAGAATTAAACATAGTTAATACTGGCGACCTTAGAAGCAAATTAGTTCTAGCTCCCTCACAGTGGAAGATTTTTAGAAATTAATACCGGATAAAATTATTATCTCGCATCTAAGTTATGTAAAAGTTCATACAAAATGGTTAAAGATTTACATTTTCGTCTAAGATCCAGAATTTCTAATTAAATTCTAAAAGCGTCGTTAAAGTTGATCAATTCTGCTAAATTCATCGTTTTGGAAGGTGAAAAACAGGAAAAATTGTAATCATCAGACCGAAGCAGTGGTGGAATACCTGATGTCTGGATTAGAGGGAGACCTTGCCTGAATTGAACTTGGTTTTTATAAATAGCTGCTGCAATCCCAGCAGATTCTGATGAGGCTGGAAGCACTAAATGCACATACCTAGTTCAGCATATTATGGAAATAACTGCTATCATATCATTGGCGTTAGATTTGTCCAATAAAAATATTTCGAAGTAACTTAATTATTTTGATATTCATATGTTCTTCGGGGCATACTACCTAAACCTACTGTTTACAGCGCAATAGTAACTTCCTTTACAGGACTCAAAATATTAAGGCTTCGGTTGGCCCTTTTCAGTATCCATAGAACATTTTTTTGTCTTCATTATTTTGCAGTTTTCATAGTTGATATTTTATAATATTAACAATCCTTAAGTTAAATAAATCAAAATTAGCCCTCAACTATCCAGGCAAAAGCTCAATGCTGACGTTTTGTAATTCGGTAACTATAATATACAACCCTTATCGATAAAACGATTTGCTCTTATTCAGTTAAACTACTTTTTGCATTTCGCGGAACCGTTCACCAATTTTGGAGCACTTCTATGATATAGAACTTATGCACTTTCATGTTTTCGCCGAAAAGTACAAATTCAACGTAAAATGTCAAGATCAGGCTCAAGCCTGATTGACCTGTAATATGAACCTACATCCTGACTAATGACTACGTAATTTTGGTGCAAATCATCGTAGGCGTGCTCCTTCTACCAATTCCGAATTCGTTGGTAGTTCAACCTTGCTGCGTATATAGACGCTGCTTCAATTTAAAGCCTGGAAACCCGCAGTACCAACAATAATCTACCTCATCCCAAATGTGCAGCAACCGAGGACAATATTTCAGCACAGTAGTATTGGAAAACGATGCACAGTTCTCACCGATAGATCTACTTAATGCCTGGTTCAGCTGTACAAGAAAATTTTTCAATTATCAATGCTCAATTCCTAACAATGCCGGAGTATTTCTTAGTGGAAGCTGCGGACAGCTACCCAAACGCGATGCTTCAGCGAGATTAAGCTAAAACAATTTTCAACGGAGTAGACAGTGGTTCTGTTGAGGAAATTATGTAGAATTTGAATGACTATGTATTTTATGAATTGGCCACGACGAGCTGTCTACTTGAAGTCAATAGTTGTCACAAAATCGGCGTCATAATCACCGAAATGTCGCCGAAAGTTATGAATCACACTACGGACGAACGCAAGAACGGCAAGCAGAAGGAAATCTTATTATTCACACCTAATTTCTCACTGGCATGGCATATTTTCATAATAAATTCATTCAAATTATTAAAGGGGATATGTCAAATATAAAACATTATAGAGCTATTTCTAAGATCTCAGTTATTGCTAAGGTTTTTGAGTCCATAATTTATGACAAAATATCTCCATGTGTCAGGAATATTATAATTAATGAGCAGCATGGCTTTATTAAGGGAAAATCAACTGTCTCAAATCTCCTAACCTATGCGCACCTTCTGTTGAATGCCTTTGAGAATAAATATCAAGTGGATGCTGTATACACTGATTTCTCAAAGGCGTTCGACAGAGTTGATCATGGTATCTTGGTAAGCAAGCTGAGGTCAATTGGCATACATGGCACTCTACTTAAATGGCTTGAGAGTAATGCAACAGATAGATACCAAGTGGTTAAGATCAAAAACCATATATCCTCAGAAATTAGTGTTACATCGGGTGTTGCCCAGGGAGGCCATTTGTCTACGCTTCTATTCAATATTTTTGTGAATGATATTAAGGATATTTTTGTTAATTGTCTTTTTCTTGGCTTTGCGGACGATTTAAAAATTTTTAAGATTATTAGAAATACGAGTGATTGGCTCGCTTTGCAAGAAGATTTAAATAGGTTTTCTCATTGGTGCAATGTAAATAACTTAATGCTAAATACTGATAGGTGTAAAGTTATAACCTTCTGTAAAATTAAAAATCCAATAGCTTTTGAGTACTCACTAAACAATGCAATTTTACAGAGAACAAACCTAGTAAGGGATTTGGGTGTGTGGCTTGATTGTGAGTTAACATTTGTGTCTCACATTGAGAAAATAACATCAAGAGCTATGCGTCTTTTGGGATTTGTTTTTAGGAGTCTTAGGGACGTCAATAATTTTTTATTGTGAGAGATGTCTACTGTTCCTTAGAGCATTATTTGAATATGCCAGCTCTGTTTGGCATCCTTATTATGCTGTGCACAGAGATAGTATTGAAAGAATCCAAATAAAATTTCTTAAGAGAATAGGGCTAAAGCTTGGCATTCCTTATGATGATATTAATTGTCAGGACCTAATGACTTTACTGAACTTAACGCCACTTGTAAACAGAAGAGATATGTTTGATATTTGCACACTTCTTAAGATCATTAACAATCAAATTAATGCACCTGATCTCCTTGCTCTGGTTGGTTTTCATATACCGTCAAGGGAGTCAAGAAGTAAGTCATTATTTCATATTCCATATCATAGTACAAATTATGGTGCGAATTCTTCTATAACTCGAATGTGTATGAAAGCAAATAGTGTAGTGCAGAAGTGAAATAAAATTGACTTTTTCAATGATAGTTTTAGGATTTTTGCGAATAAAGTGAGAAATGTAGTACAGTAATAATTGGTCTTGTTGTATCTAGTAGTGTTTAAGATTGTAGGCCGCCCTCTTGTGATCACGCACCATTAATGATTTTATATTTTGTATTGTTATTTATATTTAAATGCTATATGCGTTAATAAAGAATTTCAATTTCAATTTCAATTTCAATTACATGAACAAAAAAAATGAACCCTAATATCCGTTTATCGTCATCTTGTTGAATGCATTTACATAACTGTATCATTGAAGTTTCTAAGGAACTAGATTTAAGTGTATGCTGAATATCATTCAGCATCCACCAGTTGCCCCTACTAAGTGCAAAAGACTGTGCGTTCACTGCAACCTGCCTTTAGCAGAGTCGTTGGGTTTTTCGTTAATTCCAGCCAAAAGATCTGGAAAGAGACCGCAAAGTTCAATTACGACTCGAACGGGCAGACAAGAGTATTGTCTAGAATTAGGCAAAAATTCCATTTACGTCGATTGCGAATATCCGAGGTCTGGTAATGGACGTCACAGATAAGTCCGGTCGTTGGTGCTCGACGAAGATCGGTTTTCTCTAGTTGAAATAATGTGGCAAGAATTTTCATTGCAGATGTCTGAAATGTGTAGTGGTTTTTCGTAGTCAGTCGAGGATACTCTACACAAAAATGTAACCGATAAAAATCAAATTTCGGTATCTGTCTTGCGCTATAGCTCAAAATAAACGCCAAAGTTAGAGGAACAAAATAGACAAGATTTTTGTTCAAACTGATGTCCTGAAAAATGTTGTTAGATTTTTACAATTCTTCCCGCGCCGTTCTTGGGCGCACATGCGTGAGCGACCAAACAGTGTTATAGGGAGAGCCAATTTTAGATATTTGAAATAGAATCTAACACGGCGAAACTGACATCATTCCGCTCTCGGAATGTATAGCCCTCATGACAATAATAATTCTGGGCAAATTAACAGTAAACAGTTTTATTATCTAACGATAAAGAGATTTAGAAGGTACATGAATAATTGGATACAAAATTACGAAAATACCTGGATAACTAATTACAAAAATACACGGATAACTAGTTACAGGTGTACATGGATAACTAGTTACAAAATTGCGAACACTACGACTATGGTATATATGCCTACTCAGCATGTAGGTACTTATAAGCCATGATTATTATTGAACATCATCTTCAAAAGGTTGATAGTCGAGATTTAGCTTGCTCGTCTATTTCGCTGGTAGTTGCTGAAATAAGCAAAAGAAGAGCATTACTCAGACTGCTCCGTCAGTAACTGCTCAATAGACTTTTGTAACAGGATTTCATTCGATGACACCATGAAAATACTGCTGATTCAACACCAACAACTAATTTTTTGTTATAACAGGAATGCATCAGATGACACGATGGGAATACTGCTATATGCACGTATTCTCGATGGGTCATTTAATATCAGCACTTAGAATGACACGATGGAAATATTGCAATATGTACATATTTACGATGGGTCATTTAATATCAGGGTTTTAGAATGACACGATGGAAATATTGCAATGTGCACATATTTGCGATGGGTCATAGATTAATATGATCGGTCTGTTACACAATCTAGCAACAATCTAACACGGCATAGATTGATCAAAATAAACTGAATTACTTACAATCATTTAATTCTAGCAGATTTTGGAAATAATCAGGAGTCCACTCGATTGGCCAGTGGCGCAACTGGTCCTTTGAACACTTAAGAGTCATTCTCGTGCCCAGTTTTTGAATTGAGTATCGGTCATTAGCTAATAGTTGTTCAATGACATAGGGTCCCACGAATTCGCATGTAAATTTCTCTGCCCTTTGACCTCGGCTTAACAAATCAGCATCACCAACTTTGAATGACTGGTTATTCCTACGCTTCTTGTTGAGGGAACTAACTTGTTCTTCAGCATTTTTCTTCATTTTTTTATGAACGGTGGTAGAATCGATTGGATTTTTAGTGGCTTCAGGAGTGGGTAAATCTGCTAAGACTGTACGAATCTGAGGAGTTTGTCGTTCTTGACCAAAAATTAATTTAAAGGGTGAATAGCCCTCGGTCAATGTCAGGCAGTGTCTGCCCGGCGCGGCAGTACGTCTTCTCCCGTGCCATTCTTGGGCGCACATGCGTGAGCGACCAAACAGTGTTATAGGGAGAGCCAATTTTAGATATTTGAAATAGAATCTAACAATGTAATTTGATTGCGTGTAACCCGAGCTTGTCATTTCTGCATGTTCGAATGTAGCTAACTGGTTTTACGGAAACATAGAAGTGTTTAGTCTCTTGTTTTCCAAATTTTCAGATGAATGTTAATTTGTAACAGCAGAAAAATTGTAAGGGGATATGCTTGTCTATTTGAAATATACTGTTTAACAGAGTCAACCATATATGGGTTGATCCTATTTAAAAAAAAATAACTACTGCCTCCCGTTTTTATGCGTTCAGTGCAATTACGTTTTTGAATGTATAGTTGAAAGCATTGGAAATGTAAGTTGACAATAAAAGGGATACAAAACACATATTCCATCCCAGCATAATTACGAGAACAATAGTATATATAGTATGAGGAATAAGTGCTAAGTTCCGACGAATGTAAGTCCGTAACGGATCTGAAATTATCATGAAGCCATTACTTGCTGACGATAATCGTCTTTCTTTTCTCCCATTTCGTGCTTCTGCCATAATGCGTCGGATATGAACTTCTTCCTAGAGATACCCAATTAAGTTATTTAGCTAAAACCATTGAAACGAAGATATGAGAATTTTTTTTATTCCTCACGTCAAGCATGACAGGTTGCTACGCTCACGTCTCTTTGTTCGTCATTGTCTGTCAGCGCGGTCCGTAGGACCTTTGCTCTTGATTAAAGTCTTTTAAGTCAGTAGGTCAGTCAGATCTGGTTGACCAAACAAAGTCAGGGAGAAATAAGGGAAGAAGAAAGGAAGGAAGGAGGGAGAGTAAATAAACAAGAAGTGCGTCAATTTGAGGGGTGCCCTGGCATTGCTAATTAGTATTCGGCAATTAATTTTAAATTGATCCTAAAATTAGTTTTGGGATTGATTGTTGAAGAAATTATAATTTGGTTGGACCTAAAGTCGCACGATTTAATTTTGTTCACAGTGCCCGTCGCGGCCTTGTGTACTTGCGAACTTGCTCGACTGCGATTCTGCTTGACTATAACGTAGCTGCGCTTGTTGTTTGATGTAGTCCCTTAAGTAAGGGATGTCAAGGTCTCTGTGAAGGGTCTCATTGGAAACATACCATGGGGCGTTAGTGATTGTACGCAAGGTTCTGTTCTGCAAAATCTGCAGGCTACGCAAATGCGTTTTGGCGAGAAAACACCAAGCTGCACTTGTGTAAGTGATCGCTGGACTAATAACCATCTTGTATAGCCGAACTTTGTTGATCAAACTTAATTTTGATGTTCTACATAGCATAGGGTAGAGTTGCCGAAACGAGATTTGGAATTTAGTTTTTAACGATTCAGTGTGCTTATGCCAGGTCATCCCCTTGTCAAAAGTGACACCGAGATACATAGCAGAGCCTTCCCATGGTATCCGAGCTCCTTTCCACTTTGCTCCTTCACGGTGCCCTGACCTTTGTGGCACACATTTGACTGGAATTGCAATCAAACCGTTTTCTGAAATTTCTTAACCAGTACATTTTCTTACTGACAATAGTCCAATTACCTAGGATTTTGGAGTATAGAGCTGCTATCGTTTGGTAGTTCTGTCACCACTGTGACCTATAGAGGCCGACGATTCTGGCGATATAGTGGATGTGGTTTACTTGCCATTGAACAAACTAAACGTACTGCTGTCGTCCGTTCAACCACAGACAACCATGTACAGCTGTTTCGTGCTTTTTGGCGACTCATCAGCATGATCCATGCTTGGTTGCCCATATACCAAACAAAGTCAGGGAGAAAGAAGGGAAGAAGAAAGGAAGGGAGGAGGGAGAGCAAAGAAAAAAGAAGTGCGTCAATTTGAGGGGTGCCTTGGCATTGCTAATATTAGTATTCGGCAATTTCAAATTGATTCTAAAATTAATTTTGGGATTGGTTGTTGAAGAAAAATTATAATTTTGGTTAGACCTAAAGTCGCACGATATAATTTTGTTCACAGTGCGCGTCGCGGCCTTGTATAGCCGAACTTCGTTGATCAAACTTAATTTTGATGTTCTACATAGCATAGGGTAGAGTTGCCGAAACGAGATTTGGAATTTAGTTTTTAACGCTTCAGTGTGCTTCTGCCAGGTCATCCCCTTGTCAAAAGTGACACCGAGATACGTAGCAGAGCTTTCCCATGGTATCCGAGCTCCATTCACTGAAACCTCAGACGGGTACGCTCACGTATTTCCAGAGTGGTAGCTGTCATTTAACTAGGAGTCAAGTAACCTGGCGGTAGAGTTCCGCTCCTCTCCACTTTGCTCCTTCACGGTGTCTTGATCTTTGAGACACACAGCTGACTGGAATTGGAATCAAACCGCACACTGAAATTAAGAAATTTTTTTCATGACAATACTCCAATTACCTAGGATTTTAGAGTATAGAGATGCTATCGTTTGGTAGTTCAGTCACCACTGTGACCTATGGAGGCCGACGATTCTGGCGATATGGTTGATGTGGTTTACTTGCCATTGAACAAACTAAACGTACTGCTGTCGTCCGTTCAACCACAGACAACCATGGACAGCTGTTTCGTGCTTTTTGGCGACTCATCAGCATGATCTAGGCTTGGTTTCTGGGACATCGAGCGACAGAATATCAGCTATCCTCTATCCGAGGTATGGGATTGCAAAGCGCAGTGGTCGATTCTGATAATATAGCGCAGTTTGCGCTGTCTTATTTCGATATGCCTCCTGTTGTTAGAGGCACTCTGGGTTCTTTCCATACTGATCCCGACTTACTTTGTTCCATCAGTAGATTCGTTGATGTTCATCAAATGTGGCGTTAAACAGAGAACCGTTTTAGGTCCGCTGCTTTCTAATATTTATATACTTAAATGATATATTTCAAATTGACTGTGTTGGCAAAACAGTAAGTTTCGCAGATGACACAGCACTTTTTTATAAAGATGATAATTGGTTTAATTTGAAAAGTAGAATTGAAAATGATTTTGTCAAAATTTTACCATGGGTTGATAAAAAAAATTGAGCACTAATTACTCTAAAACACATTTTTTACCATTTTTTTCCTGTTCCAGACATCTACCAAGTTACACAAATATCTCATTTATCGTAAATAATCAGAAATTAGCATCAAATATTAAATATCTTGGAATATTCCTTGATTCACGCTTGCGTTGGGATGTTCATATTTCATATATTGAAAAGGAAGTTAGATACGTATCATATAAAACTAAATATATCAAAAACATTTTGAAAGAAAAATATCTCTATACCTTATACCATACCTTGATCGAACCGCATTCAACCTACGGTATATTAGCATGGGGAGCTACATGCTCAACTCATATTGGATCTTTTTCAAAAAATGGTTTTAAAAACAATGTTCAACAAACCAAAATTGTCTTCAACTGATGTCCTATACAGAGATACACATGTATATGACTTATAACAGCTTTATTTTTTTAAATTCTATATACATTTACCTGACGATATAAAGGATCTTCGCTTTGGGAATGAGTTCAAGAAAAAGTTAATAGAATCGATTTTTTCTTTGGTAAGGCCACATGTATACAAATTAATAGTAAATAATTCGTTGATTAGTTGTATCTCTATTCATAATACAGTTGCAACATCTATGGTCAATGTACGGGCAATATGGGCCGTTACTTTATATATGTTTACTCATTCTTTGTATAGTCTTTCAAGAATAAATAAATATTATTATTGCATTGTTTGTCGCCATAATTATGTAGTTTTGGCACGTACTCTTGGCTAATTTGCCTACCATAGCCCACCGAAACCACAAACCAATAGATCGGCGTACATATTTTCTCTGGAAAGAGTATTCAAGCAGCTGTTCGTACTGGGTGCACTCACGCAGATCAAGGCAGGAATACTACTATATTTATCCAATAAAAAGATTTCGAAGTATTCTTATGAATTTAGTATCCATAATTTTTTTTGCATATAGGGCTTTCTCCATAGAACCTCGAGGCACTGAAATGAAATCACTACTTATAACTCACTCGAAACTACAGTTCTTGAGAACTTCAAGATCCAGAAGTTAAGGTAGATGAAGTTGAATTTTAGTTTATAATAATAATAATAATAATAATATTTATTCACTCAATGTACAAAGATAACAAACAATATGAGTAAATAAATATAAAATCAAAACAGGCCCAATAGAAGGCATCGCATGTACATGGACCAATAATTTAAGTTGAAACTGCAAATGACAAAAAAGGACAAAAATTAGCTACAGTAGATTATGTATTTAGTTGATGTTCGTATTTATGAGTTTATGAATTTCAGTCCTAGATATAGAATGTAGCCACTTTTTTAAATTTCGTTTGAAACAATTTCCGAAACGTAAATCTTTTAAGTCTTTAGGTATAATTTCATGAAATTTAGGCGCTAAATAGAGATATGATCGCTGCATTATAGATTTATGCGGTTGAGGAACTACTGTGCCACGAATTTTGTACCTGGTATAATGATTATGTTTAATTTTTTGGTCGGTGTTTACAAATTTATGGTAGTGAGTGATACTGTGTAAGAAATAAAGCTGTCTTATATCATACATTCGAACATCTGCGTATAATTTTTCAGTGGGATATCGGGATATAAGTTTCGGTTTTTTAAATATCATTTTTAGAATACTTTTTTGAAAAACATCTAAATTATAGATATGTGAGGAACATGCAGCTCCCCATGCTAATATACCATATGTGAGATGAGGCTCAACCAGTGCATGGTATAATGTTCGAAGATATTTTTCTGTCAATATATTCCCAAGGTATTTAATTTTGTAGGATACAAATCTAACTTTCTTTAAAATATAATTGACATGGATGTCCCATCGTAAGTGAGGATCCAAGACCACTCCAAGGTATTTTATGTTGGGCACTCTATTAATTTGCATTTTTTGATCATTAATATTGAAGGAGAAATTTGTGAATTTGGCAGATGTCTAGCATAAGATCCAAATGGTAAAAA